CCGACGATGAAGCTCTCCCGCTCGCAAAGTTCCACGTTCGTGATATATTTGAGCGCATATGATCGAACGAGGAAAGCATAAATTATCGAAATTCGTGATCGATAAAATTGAGCGTTTCCTAACTTCTTCCCGCGTGAGTTTATTCGAAACTCCTTCCCGTTCACGAGGTGCCGCGACGTTGTAAACGTGCACGTTGAAATTCTGTGCGATATCGAGTCCACCGGCGCTTTGGGCCACCGAACTCACAAGACGCCAGATGTCCTCGTGAGTTAAATCGCGCGCCGGCCGAAACGATAATCCCACCGGACTATGCGTTAAACCTACCGAATCAAACGATAATCCAACGTAATCGTATGGTTCGAAGGAATGCATCGCGTAGGTGTGAATTTCACGAAACGCGTTTTCAAACCAATCGTGAATATCGGCACCGTCTGGTAACGCATGCAAACGAAATGTCGCCTCTCTCCCTAACATAGCGAAATTTCTAAATCGTCGCGAATTTTCCCCTATTAAAAATAAATGATTAAAATTTACGTTTTGCCGATTGATCTCTGGCGTAGTTTCCTGCACAACCTCCTCTTCTTTCTCCTCTTCCCTCTCCTGTTTCTCCTCTCTGTTCTCCTTGGGAATTTCTTCCGTCTTCTCTAACTCAATTTCTGCAGGCACTTCCTCCTCCTCCTGATGACCTGCGGTGACTCGTCCTCCTCCTCCTCCTCCTCCTCCTCCTCGTTGCGACTCCACGATCATGTACACTTCTGTATTTTCAAAAGAAAAAGAAAATGTTACAACAGATTACAAAATATGCAAAAATTTTCGGTAAATTTTTATTTTATAGAAATATTTGACAAAAATCTCTTTAAATGTTATGTTCGTATTTAAATTTAAGAAACGTATGTATGTAATGTTTTCAAATAAAATTACTAACCTTATCGGAATACTCGAACAAAGCGCCGTAAAGACAACCTTCCTTTTACTCGCAGGGTAGGAGAGCGAGGAATATCCAATAAAGAAATTCGTTAATCTTAAATTAAATACGAACATCAAACTAAAAAAATTAACAAAAAGAGAAGAATTATATACCTGCAAGAGTTACGCTATTATTTCTCTCATCTTCTCGATTTTCTTCTCCCTCGTGTTCTTCTTCTTCTTCTCCCAACCTCTGAGTTTCCTCCTCCTCTTCCTCCTCCTCCTGCTCTTCCACATGATTTTCTCTTTCTTCTTCTTCACGATAAACAGGAGAGTATATATCGAATTCTGGAAGAAAACAATGTTTTACTTGAATTTTTTGCTTCAATTAAAATTTTTATCTTTCATCTAAGAGAAGAACTCACCTGATGAAGATACACGATCATGGTCCGCAGGAGAATTTACGTTTTCTTCTTCTTCTTCCGTATCTGAAAGTATTATATTAAGATTTTATCAATTGATTTATATTATTCACTTTAGAAATTATTTCTATCCTAAAAAATATTAACTTACCCGACGAGAGTTGGATGAGCGGGATTTCTCTCCTCTCTTCTTCCAACTCTGGCGTCAAAATAATACGCGCCCTTCCTACAAATAATTAATACTACTTTTAATGCTAATGGGAAATTACGAAAAATTCACTTTCTGATATTACAATTTTCTAATTTACTTACACGATGGACCTGCCTCTGGCTCTTCCTCCGCGCGACGCCTCCGTGATCGAGGGAGAGGATTTATCACCACAGTTCGAATATTTTTTCCTAGAATTTATTTTTAAAAATTATTAGTTAATTCGTGCTGATTATATAACATATTATTCGTATTCACTTTTTAACGAAATATTAAAGCAAAAAAAAATATGAGATGTTTACCTTGAAAATTATGCGAAAGGAGATTCACGATGTATCCTTCCACATCCTCTTCCTCATACTCAAGCATCCGCCGCATTTCCATGGTTTCGGCGGCTATACGTAGAATTCGCTTATCGCTATTGAAGTATCCCATCAGTTTCTGATATTACAATTTTCTAATTTACTTATTTACGCGATGGATCTGCCTCTGGCTCTTCCTCCGCGCGACGCCAATGAAAATCATATAATTTTTCTCGGGATTATCGGATAATCCCGATAAAAATTTATCCGCGTTTATACGTGTATCAAGCATCGAAGCTAAATGCAGTTCGAATCTGCAGTTTAATCCCGATAAAAATTTATCCGCGTTTATACGTGTATCAAGCATCGAAGCTAACTTGATACTCCTACGAATGGTTACTTTCGCCATTTCACTTTGCAAAGTTGCCATTACACCTTATACACAACTTTACGTATGACTTTTGCTCGACACACACGTGAGAAAAGATTCACAAAGTAAAACTCGAAAATGTATTTTTCTTAAGATACAACATCTATTTATACGGAAAATCCTACTTACCCCCATAAAAGAGAAGGGTTGAGTACAGTAGAAAATTTAAGTTTCGAGAAAGTTGACAATTGAACAGTCTCATTCTGAAGAAAAAATAGTTTATAGGATTACGGAAAAAATGGTTTATAGACTTACGACTGTCGATGTAAATAAGAAAAAATAGTTTATAGGATTACGGAAGAAATAGTTTATAGACTTACGACTGTCGATGTAAATAAATTTATACCTTTATATCGGTTGTCTGAAGAAAATCTCGTACAAAAATCGGTAGTGAAAATACCATAAAATTTTTTTTACACTTTATATCGGTTGTCCGAAGAAAATCTCGTACAAAAAATCAGTAGTGAAAATACCATAAAATTTTTTTTACGCATTCCTTTTAACCCTTTATATAAATATTTCATCTAGTATAAAACTTTTTTTTTGTTTTTTTTTGTTAATCGGCCGTACGAAATATTCCATAATTTTTTGCACATCTTAAGTTGGAATATTTCTTTGAATAATTTTATTTTTCAAATACAATACTTTTTTCCTAGTAGGATTTTTCTTGTCCATCTCGTTGAATATGACGTCGCTCTAAATGAAATATTTACAACTTTCAACTTTCTGAAAATTGCTCATTCTAAACTTTTTTTTGTACATTTTATTACTCGTGAAATATATTTCTTTATTTGTTACTGTTACGTCCAAGCCCCTGGAGATTGGATAGTGAATGG